CCGGGAAATTCTACCCCTACTTCATGTATAATTCTTTGAGATTCAATCAATTATTTCCCGAAAAATTGGAAAAATTAAAAAAACCGGTTTCCAAAAAGATCGGCAACGAAAACTATACACATCATGGCGCTCCCCGTAAAATTCTACTCCTACTTCTTTAAGGCGATGCTGGAGTCGCGGGCGAACTCGATCAGCGTCGATAAAGAAGTGCTCACCGATTCTTACATATACATACAGAGGGCAGGCAAACTCGACCAGCGTCGATAAAGAAGTGCTCACCGATTCTTACACATACATACAGAGCGCAGAGTTTTTGGCTGAATTCGGGGAGACGCGTAACATGTGCATATGAAATTTTCTAACATACTTTTCTCTTATACTAAAGCTCGCAGCTCATTTCTGCAAGCACAGGATTCTTCTTTATTGTATTTCCGTGACGGCTGCAAGGTTTTTGTATACGTACACAGTGTAAAACTTTTATCTGCAGCAAATGTTGTCATGAGTCGACCGCAGAATCGAAAATAAAAATGTAATTTTCTAATTTTTTTTTGTTTTTTATACGCAATTGGTGCCTGCCGTCTTCGTTATCGTCCATACTTTAATTCTGGACAAAAAATTTTTAATTTGGTGAAATCAATCAAAAGATTTGTGTGTCTGAAAATTTCGTGGTAAAACAGACCTGTCTCCAGCATCCCCTTAAGTCGGTCTTCTCGGTCTCTACTTATTCGGTCAATAAATTCCCGAAAAATTGAAAAAATTTCCGTACCGGTTTCCAAAAAGATCGGTAACGAAAAATTATACACTTCATAGTACTCCTCGGAAAATTCTACCCCTGTTTGATCTACAATTCTTTGAAATTCGGTGAATTATTTCCCGAAAAATTAGAAGAATTAGAAAAACCGGTTTCCAGAAAATTGGTAACAAAAAACTATACACATAGTGGCACTCCCCGGAAAATTCTACCCCTATTTCATATACTTTTGGTAAAAATTCGGTTCAGGGGTTTAGGCTGGGCGTTGATGAGTCAGTGAGTGAGTGAGTCAGTCAGTCAGGACATCTTCCTTTATATATATAGATATATAAATAATAATATATATTTCTTATATATGTAATTATATAATGTACAAACAAGCATTCTAATGCCACATTAGATGGGATCACTCCAAAGATTGGTATATACCGAGTTTTGAAACACAAATGTCCATAAAATCTCGAGAAAGATGTGTCGAAATCTCACTTGACTATGAGGACTACTATTATATGCACGGTCATAAAATTGATGGAAGAAATTTGCTACCCGCGACGAGTTATCTTGAACTCGTTTGGGAAACTTTCGGTATGATGAAAGGGATAACATACACAACAATACCGATAATATTTCGAGATGTAAACTTTATTCGCGCTACTCACTTAATGAAAAGTAATGCTGTAAAATTGATGATTGCGATACAGAAAGGTATTTATGAGATGAGTTGTTTTAAAGTAGCATAATCGTATAAGAATGTATGTAAAATAATCGGATATATAAAAATATTACAGATGGGAAGTTTGAAATAACCGAAAGAGATAGCGTTCTTGTGACAGGTACAGTGCACGAGATATCGAATCCAGAACAGGAAATGATTCGGACAGATCTATTACCGGAGATTAACGATGAGGAAGAATATATAACTGCTCGAGATATCTATAAGGAGTTGAGACTGCGTGGTTACCAGTACAGCGGCTGGTTTCGCGGATTACATAGCGCATCTATTTCAGGCAATAAAGGACATATTGTTTGGAAAACAAATTGGGTAACGTTTATGGATACTATGATGCAGATGTGTATTATTGGATATGATACCAAAGACTTATGTGTTTCGACGAGTATTCAGAAGTTGGTGATCAATCCTAAGCTTCATGCATCGATGCTACGAAACAGCGTGGCTGGCATGGAAGATACGCAAGGACACGCGACATGCAAGGATAAAAGTAAGTGTTCTTCAATTACTTGTTGAGCTATTTTGTTTTGACGAATGTCGCGTAAGAAAATCTCCGATGTGATATATAAGGCGTATTATTTTGTCTTATTGCAGCATTACCGATACGAATATACAGAGAATTAGACACAATTATAGCTGGCGGAATAGAGATGCAAGGCTTAAAAACCACTCAGATCTCTCGCCGAAGATTGGCTCAGGATGTTCTTATCGAAGAACACGTATTTGTAGCTCATCATGATCGCGCTAAGATTTCTTTGAACGAAGCGATTCGAATATCGGCGCAACTCGCGCTGGAAGATCATCAAATCATCAAAGTGAAAACCATCGAGCTAGTGGAAGATGTCGACGATGTCGCACCAGAATATCTCTCTTCTTCGTTGCTGCTTGAGGCTTTTGGTGATGTGCCATTGATACAAACGAATATCATTGTATTAACATCGCCGAATCGTTTTAGTCCAGCAGATCTACCGCAGAACATTTCAATTAGAGATTTAAACAAACCATTTGTAGATGACAAAGCCTTAATAGTTGCCGGATTCAACCTTTTGACCAAGCAACAAGCCTCGTTAGAACGACTTTTGTCATTTCTGAGAGAAGGTGGCTATCTGTTGTCACGTGAGAAATGCGACGTAGTTAACTACACCAAATATTTACAGCAATACGAATTAAATGTTATTCTTGAAAAGCGCACCGACAAAGAAATGATTGTGCTTCTGAAGAAGAAAATTCTGATAAAAAAGAGAATTGTTGTCTACATAAATAATAATAATTTTAATTGGCTGGAAGATCTAAAACTGCTTGTGAGCGATGAGAATAAACTCGAGGAAAAGAGTAGGATTATAATGGTTGGAGAGAGAGATTTTGAATGCGGTTTATTAGGTTTTATTAATTGTTTGAGAAAAGAGCCAGGCGGAGAGTTTGTTAGAAGTCTGCTTATTCAAGATGAGAAAGCCCCTAAGTTTTCTCTACAGGATCCTTTCTATATACATCAATTGCAAAAAGATATGTTCATTAATGTATTGCGATCTAATGAAACCTGGGGATCATACAGACATTTGCGATTACCACGACCGAAAGCCGAACCCGTACCTACCGCTCATGTATGCCAAACGGTATGCCATACAAATCTTTTCAAAGCATATCGATAACTTTATCAATGTACAATAATATTATGTATTTTCGTCTTCTGAGTACTGTCACACGATATAAAATTTCATTTTATATATATGTCACGTATTATAAAATTGATATTTTTCTATAGGCCCGTGGTGATCTAGGTACATTTTGTTGGATAGAGAACAGTCTATGTGTCGAAGCCCGTCGTGAGGATTTGGTGCGTGTGGTTTACTCATCGCTCAATTTCAAAGATGTAATGCTTGCGACTGGTAAATTAGTATCTGATCAAGCAATCTCACGAGAACGGTTTCAATGTACTCCCCTTGGGTTTGAATACGTAGGATTCGATCCCACTGGGCAACGTGTAATGGGAATCCGTGATACCGAGTAAATAATGCTCCAAAAAATAATTACGTTGCGTAATATTATAGAATTAAAACTAAATTAAGATTATTCTTTCTAGTTGTATTGCAAACGTCGTTGTAAAAGATAAAGATTTCTGCTGGAAGATACCCGATGCATGGACATTCGAAGCGGCGGCGACGGTCCCGTGCGTTTACAGCACGGTTTACTTAGCCTTATACATACATGGGAAAATGAAAAAAGGCAATAAGATACTTATACATTCTGGTGCTGGCGGTATTGGACAAGCAGCTATTCACCTCGCTCTCAAAGAAGGATGCGAGGTGTTCACTACTGTGGGCACGAGAGAAAAACGGAACTTTATTAAGAAGATGTTTCCGATCATTCTGAATGAACATATTGGAAATTCACGAGATACCAGCTTTGAACAAATGATATTGCGAGAAACAAACGGTCGCGGCGTCGACATCGTGTTAAATTCATTGGCAGAAGAAAAGTTAATCGCGTCCATTCGTTGCTTGGCGCAAAATGGTCGTTTTCTGGAAATCGGCAAATTTGATCTCATTTCTAACAATCCGCTAGATATGTCTATGTTTCAAAAAGGTATTAGTTTCCATGGAATTCTACTCGATAAAATGATGTGTCCTGGCGATCACAAGTATAAGTCGCTGTTGTCCAAAATGATAACCGATGGTCTTAAAGATGGTGTCATCAAACCAATTCAAGTAAAAGTTTTTTCGAAAACAGAAATCGAAGAAGCTTTTAGATACATGGCGAGTGGAAAACACATGGGAAAGGTATGCTAGTATGGATTAATAGTAGCATAGAGAATTATTCATAATAGTTTTACAGAACTTACCCATTTTACATATAATGTGCAATTTTAACATATAAATATATTTTTTTATAGATAATTATAAAGATCCAGGAAAAGGATGAACCTCTAGACAAGCCCATTGTCGCATATCGTCGCTATTACTGTCTCAAAAATAAAAGTTATATTATATTGGGAGGTCTAGGTGGATTTGGTTTGGAGTTGACCGATTGGTTAATATTTCGAGGCGCCAGGAATGTCGTGTTGATATCGCGAACGGGAATAAAAAATGGGTATCAACGCATGAAAGTTCGACTATGGAAGTCGTACGGTGTAAATGTGCTGATTATCAAGGATATCGATGTCGCTGATCCCAAGGACTGCGAATACCTCTTGCAAACTGCCGAAAAGAAAGCGCCGGTGGACGCAATATTCAATCTCGGTATGGTGATGAAGGATGGCGTGTTGAAGAATCAAACCGCGGAGACCTTCGCGGAGTCTTTCCAACCAAAGGCTTCAGCAACGCAAACATTGGACAAACTTTCTAGAAAGATTTGCTCCCAACTGCGGCACTTCGTGGTATTCTCTTCCAGTGCCTGCGGTAGAGGATACGCTGGACAGACTAATTATGGCATGGCCAACTCTATTATGGAGAGGGTGTGCGAGAAGAGAGCGGAGGAAGGATTACCCGGATTGGCGATTCAGTGGGGATTAGTGGGTGACGTGGGTATCATCGCTGACATGCAGGAGAACGATGGGAAGGAACTGATTACCGACCGCCTCGGCCTCTTGCAGCAAACGATATCTTGCTGTCTCGACGAGCTCAATAAATTTTTAATTCAAACCCGACCGGTTGTAAGCAGCTTGGTCGTAGCTAAAAAGAAAGCAATATCTTCTGGATTTAACAACCTGATAAAAACTGTCGCCAATATTTTAGGTATCTGGTTCAAAGTATAGACTTACTTTTTGCATATACTTATTATATTTTTTATTAAATCAGTTTATAAGTAATACATTAAAAATCATAATAATTTTTTATATTACAGACATAAAAGACATAAAGTTTGTAAGTCAAAATTCATCTCTGGCCGAACTTGGAATGGACTCCATAATAGCCGTGGAAATTAAGCAAACTCTGGAACGAAAGTTTGACATTTTTTTGACTGCGCAAGAGATACGAAATCTCACCTTCGCGAAGCTTAATAAGATGTAATTATTTTGAATTTCGGTACAGTACTTCGACATAAAGTTGAGTTTAATTGGGGTCATGTGGTATACTACTGTAAAGTTCCGACTTCCCTCTATTCATTACATACTAGTGCTATCCTTCTTAGAGTGTATATGAAGTTATTGCAAACTATCAAATTGAAGATAGAAATGAAGCAATATCGTACGATTATCTTATGTAAGTTCAAATTGGGTTGTAAAGCTTCAGAAACTGCACGCAATATCAACTAAGAAACATACAGTTTAACTTTGGTCGCACAAATTCCGTAGCAGAAACGAAAGCTTAGAAGATAAAGCGGGTCGGCCTAAAGCTGTTGATAATGATTAATAAAGAGCTATTATTCATGCGGATCTACTGAAAACCACTAGAGAGATTGCACAAATTATACTTAATATAGACCATTTAATGAGCTGAGATATTCACATTTGAAGTTGAAGATTAAAAGCCGCAATTATTTTTGCATTAACCTAATAATAAAACGTTGTTACATATATATTTATACAAAACTTATCTTTTTTTAGAAAAGGTTTAAAAAAACGCATTAAGGGTACACGCTCCTTACAAAATCTTTATTTAAAAAAATTTTTTTTAAATCAATTTTGAGCTTATAATTCTATTTGTATTTTTTACTACAAAAACAATGATATCAGAAGATTTGCGCCAAGTGAATTGTTTCCATTTTGTTACCAATTTATCATATCCACTTCGCGCAAATTTTCTGATATCATTGTTTTTGTACTAAAAAATACAAATCAACATTTCACACAAATCTGTCCATATAAATCTTGCAACATTGGGATATATAACAAATCTTAACGAACAATATTCGCCGGTAAACAGTAAAGCTGGTTTAAACTTGTCAACTTTTAATGCACAAACGCAGTCGAATGCTTCTGCGAAATATGTGGGCGTCATTTGTTTATTTTTAAATCAATCATCTGATCATATGCTGAAGATAAGCGTATTTATCATATTTTACAAATCTGCTAATTAAATGGATACTTCACATCGTTACGTGCGGAATCGCTTTCTCGGCGCACTGCATTTGCCCACCTAACAAAATTGATTACGGGACGAACTCGAGTTAACCCGCGAACATACCAATGCGTGAGCACAGCGGCTTAAGGCCGGCTATTGTAAGCAGACTATTATACGAATAATATTTCTTGTAATATTGCTATTATTGGAAAATTATAAATTTAGTAGGATGCATGCGTTAATAATGACCTTGCTATTATTGTAAAAATATAAGTTAGTAGTAGGGGAGAGACCGGGGCGAAGTCGGCCCTATTTTTTCGTGCCGATTTTTAACAACAAAATAAATTATTTTAGTGAAATATAGTATACCATTGTAAAGAGTGAACGCTTGACTAAAAAATTTATATAGGCATTTTTGGTTTACGTCGCTTTGTTCAACCGGTATAGAGTAAAAAAGACAAAGATGCAAAAATCGAAAGTCAAAATTTCCGGGGCGGAGTCGTGTCTTCATTCTCGGACTGGATTTTAAATAAAGATACATAATTTTGATCATAAAAAATAATAGAATACACTTTATTCATTGTTTTTTAGTAGAAAAATGGAAAACGGAAAATAATTTCAAGAAAATCAATTTTCTTTTTCGCTATTAGTGTCATTGAAACAGTTAAAGTATGTACGTGCTTTGGTACGTGCGATGGTACGTGCGTACTATTTTCCTGCAGTTGAGAAATACAATGACGCATTTGCAACGGAAAATAGAGTGAAACCACCGGGACGAGTCCGTTTTGGTGGTTTGGTCACGACTTCGCCCCAAACACAAGTTTTAGGTTTGGTCGCTTATAAAATAATAAAAATCAATGAAAATAAAAAAACTGCACTGGATTCGTGTTCAGCATGCATTACTCTTTAGAATCACTTACTTTGAGATTCGGAGAGACAATATACTTAAGATATTACAAACTTTCGACGCGGAAGTACTTTCAACCTGCGAAAACACGTTTGCTTCGATAAGACTCACAACATGTCACGTAACCTCACTAAACTCCGTTGGTCACGTGGGCACCATAAGCCGCGTTTACAGTATTAATGGCGAGTTCACGCAACATACAGATTTCGAGATAATTGCAAAAAATACTCCGCTCCTGGGTCGACTTCGCCCCGGTCTCCCCTACGCATGTTAATGATAATGTTAGGTAAAATTAGTATTATTATTATTGAAAGATTATAGGACACATCAGAAAGAATTTAAAGGAACGTGGAAATAAAGAGCATATAATTTGATTGATAATTTCATTTATTGAGCGATCAAATTCATAGTCTGGACCGGCACGCGACGCTCTCGGATAACCGTGACATTCCAAATAGTTTCACGTGATGGTCTCACGTATTCATATGAACACCGTAGTCCCTTACCCCGAGACGTCACCAAACGAGTAGTACATATACAGGCCCTCTGTGAATCGAGCATTCGCATTCTCTTCTATTTTATTTTCCGAATAAGTCACGCGAGATTGATATATTGAGAACACCGCGAGCCGGGAAGGACTTAGCCGCGAGCGAGTTTGATTTTTCGGAGAGCTGCTCCTCTTAGTTTCACGCGTCGTATTGTCGGTTTTCGATCTTTTCTAGCTGTAATACAAAGAAACAAAGTGAGACCTGCAATAAATACTAGTTGCAGTGAAATACATGACTTAATTTAGTTTGACCTAGTCTTCCACGATTTTTTACCTTTCACCTAGATGTCGATGCGCGCCTCTCTCAGGGCGTTCTTGACAGATCCTCAAGGCGATGCGCGCCTCTATCAGGGCGTTCTCGGCAGGTCCTCACGTAGATGCGCGCCTCCCGCAAGGCGTTCTCTAGTCACCACTGTTTCTTCCTTGTTCCTAAAAATATTAAATAAAGATAAATTATTGAACATCGATTATTATCAGTCTATCAGCTGCATGTTATTATAGGGTTCACAAACACACTCTCACAAGGACACATTCACGCACGTTTGCATGCGATCTATTTCTATAAAAAGGGAACCGAAACAGCTCTGAGATTAAAAAGAGAACCAGAAGTATCACAAGGTAAGTGAATATAATAATATTGTCACCAATGGTATACGATCATGACGGTCGGGACGTACTCATCAATTAAAACGATTACGACGCGCATATTATACTGGCGGTGAATTCGATCCTAGCGTGTTAAATTCCGTTGGATCTCCAGTATTGCAGTCCGAGCCTTTCGCCAAGGTCAATACGGCCAGTTTTGATCACTGTTTGTATAACAAACTTTGAGTGACTGGCTACCGTTTGTTATGCGTCGTCGTTGAAGAGCGACTGAAACCAAAAGTAACAAAAACTGAAATTCTAACCCAGAAGATCCGTATTATCCTCAGGGAGTGCAGTGCTAAACAATAAGGATCAATAGAAAACAAGTCGTAAGTCCTCTACTTACCATTGGTTGCCCCTTTTTGGATTCTTCAAATTAAATATCGCGAGTGCACTAAATGTTCAATTATTTCACTTCACGTAACCCACTCCGACGTCCCGAATCGTATCAGGACGTAACAGTGGCATACCGTTCGCATAGCTGAGCAGCCGAGCAACCACGAGGGGCAGCAGCGACCAGGGGAGCAGCGGACATCGACAAATTTCGAATAGAATTACCGGATAAGCGAGTCCGAAGAGCCCATATGGCTAGCGTTAACCTAAAACCCGATATATAGGTGACCGGGGCACGATTGACCCCGGTAGGCGAGCAGCAGATGATCGACCGAGCGAGCCAACGAGCGGGCCTTGGAAGGAGAGCCAAGCAGAGCAGATCGGGACGAGCGCGGTCAAGATAGCGCAAAGGGCACGCGAGATAGCGGGGTCACGAAATTGACCCCCGCGAGCGGGGGTATAACGGTAATAGCCGGGGGCCGAACCCCGGAATACGTCTCAGGGGTGATCCGGAGGTCAACCACCCGATACGCAAAGCGCCGATAACAACCAACGCGGAAATAGCGGGGTCACGCGAATGACCCCCGCGCAGAGGGGCACGGCGGTCACAGCCGGGGGCCGAGCAGCGTAAATCGTCTAAGTGGTGACCCGAAGGTCAACCAAATGAACCGCGACGCGACGGGCGCGGAGATCGCGGGGTCATGACAATGACCCCCGCGCCGAAGGGCACGGAGGTCACAGCGGGCGGCCGAGCTGCCAAACACGCCTCAAGGGCGACCCGGAGAACAACCGAACGACTCGCGACGCGATATCGATAACGGATGCGAGGATAGCGGGGACAAATAATGATCCCCGGATATCGGGAACCGAGATAGCCCGGAGGAAAATGGCGGGTGGAGAGTCTCTAGAGGAGGCGCCGAAATAAATCCGGAGGATCAGCGAGACCACTCAATCGTGGAATACCCGAACCTGGGAACCGGGGGAACGGGGTCCAGCGGGACCCATGCCGATGCGTGCGATAAGTTATAAGGCATAGATTGAGAACCGCAGGCGTCACCGACGGCGAAAACAGGCAAAAACCGTCAAAAGAAAAGTGAAAGCGGGTAACATCTGGCACGGAAAAGTACCAGGATGTGAATAACAACCTGGTGGTAGGAGTAAAGATCCCGAGGTGGGATAGCCGAGAGCGCTCGGCAACTCGAGGCAGTCGCTCGGATATCGCGGTCGTGGTAACACGCTCTTAAGATTCGCTTACAATTCGGACTTAGCGCGTCGTTTAGCGCAGCGATATATAACAACCGCACTCCCGCGTACTTGCGCGTTAAACAGCTCGTATTACAATTGCGAGAGGTACTTAGTTACCATTTGTAACAACGTTCGACGAAATGTGTCAGCGTGAAATTGTAAACCACAACGACGATCTGAAATAAATCAATCGTATGTTAATATACGCAGTGTCAAGTTAATTTCGAATTACTTACCTGCTACTTACCTTGTCCTACGGCATCGATCCATCGAAGTCCAGCGGCGTTCCAGTATGCGATAAGGCGAGGATCTGAGACAGTCAGCGGCAATTGAGATCCATCCGGGGCGAGAAGATTTGCAAGTGCGGCATTCCCGTATGCGATAAGGCGAGGATCGGGGATAGTCAGCGGCAGTTGAAATACATTCGAGTGGAATTCCTGAAACCGAAATTGATCGATTAATTAAACGTATCCATGTTCTACTTACCTGGTCTTCCGAGGGTGGTCCCACGTTGTCCATCGATGATCCAGCAGTGGGGAGGCAGCGTCGGGGCGTCGAGATATCCTGCGTCGAGAACCTGAAAATAAGAGAGAATTAATGTGATATCGTTGCGATATCGTGTCATAATTTCGATTCTCACCTTCTCGGTACATATGGGTCAAACCGAGTGGCGACCGTTTGATAGGCAAATCTGGCTGAAATCTCACATTTTCGTGTGATCCACGTACCCGGAGAGTGACGTCCGGTCACAACCTAACTTATCGAGTGATAAAACCTTATAAATAACGCATAGAAGTAAGCTAATAATTCTCAAAATCATCTCAAAATCATTATGCGACTGTAGTCAATCATATAAAACAATTATACGTGCACCAAAAGCATTGCGTATTGTTAAGATTATTATTTTGTTTTTGCAGTAATTTGTCATTTGTACATTTGACAAATATAAACATAAAATTACGTACGTTATTATAAACTCTACATAATAAAATTGTAACGGTCGCGTTTTCTCGCTCGGAATTCGCTCGCCAGGCCAGGGTGAGAAAACGTGGAGACACTGGTTAGTTTTACATAAAGCTATTTATTCTCACTATTTACAATACAGTTTGATGGAGGGCGTGAGTGTCAGTGCGTGTGTGTGTGTGTTGCTCCGCTGAGCCGCAGTGTACGTGTGCCGGGTTGAGGCGCGGTCGGACAGAGACGGACTCGCGGACAGGCGCCGAGGCGCGGTTGCCTGACGGGTTCGCGGGCAAGTACGGAGGCACGGTTGCCTTACAAATTCGCGGGCAGGTAGGTCGGTCAGGAGCTCAGTCGGGAGCGCCCAACTGAGCGGCCCGTACACCGGGAGCGCCCGTCTTCCGTACGGCGGAGGGGGTCGGGAGCGCCCGACCCAGAGGCAGGAAAGGGCAGGTAATACCAACCGGGAGCACCCAGCTGGGAAGGCCCGTACCCTGGGAGCGCCCAGGTGAGAACGGGAGCACCCGTTCTCTGTACGGAGGAAGTCGTTGGAAGCGCCCAACGTGTTGAAGCGGTCTCGGAGAGCGGTCGTGTCGGGAACAGGAGTCGGACAGGACTGGTGACAGTGGTGAATCGAGTCGGCTCGAGTCCCCCTATTTATACCCCGAGTGCGGGCGATGGGGGCTGCCCCACCGCTGGGACTGCCCCACCGCTCGGCCGCCCTACCGTTCGGGCACAGGAGCGCACGCTGAACATGTGCTTGGTGGCCGCCAAGGCCGTAGCGCTAGTGACGAATACGCGTATCGTCACAAAATTATGCGATTATTTATGCGATTTATGTATAAAGTCATTATCTCATCAATGTATGATGATAGATTTATTTAATTTCAGCTACAAAAAACCAAGAAATGGACTTGGTTTACAATATACTTTAAACACACTCATACCAACTTTTTGTTTTAACTTAACGCGTGCAACTGTTAATTCATTATTCCGTACTTTCTTAAATTTCTTTTAGAAAAACCTTCCCTTAATTAAACCCTAAACGACTAAAAATACTCAGACGGTCAAGTCTGTCAAAAGCAGAGTATCTGCTACAAATTTTTGTCAGCAGATAGACTACAGATTTGATGACGGTTCTGATATATTACATGATGTCAGTAGAACGTACGCGGTGGTTTATTTTATCGACTTTAAAAGTTGGCGGGAAGTCGACTTGAAGTCGACTTCTACCGAAACTGACTTGGCGAAAAATCGACTTTTCGCCAAGTCAGTTTCGGTAGAAGTCAACTTTTTGCTCTTAGGTTGTTACGGATTCGTAATAACAAGATTTCTCATAAAATAAGTTACATAAGGCGATTTTTGGCGATCGTTTGGTATGGTTTGGTACATATACCAAAGTTGCTATCCGTGGCTGCTATTGGTTCTGGTGCAGTTTGGTACCCTTTAGTTGCTTATACCAGAGTCACGCCAAAAATTGCCTATAGATTCGTAAATTTTTTTTAAATATACTCTTTATATAATAATGCAGTGCGCTAAAGAGCCCGATTTTGCATTTTTGCTTTTATAAATTTATAATAAATAAAATACGAAGTTAAAGTGCAGTTTGAACTGCACTAGTGCATAAAGTGCACCTGAGTGCACCTGAGTTTGCCTGGGACCTCTATGAAGTTGGCCGGACAACTTCAACGTATCGAACTTTCATT